CTCAACACATCACTGCTTAAATATGAACCCCATATTAAGATTACATTCATGTTTGCTGGCTGTAATTTGAAACCCTAACACTTAGACATTTTATGTCTCTATTAACCAGTTGATTTGATGGTTTTTAAATTAAAAGCTATTACATGTTATCACTTTTTTCTTCAGCTCTTGTCTAAACACCAGTATCCTGTGAAATGCCTGCTCTCAAACATTTGTTCACACTGAAAAATGTTAAAGAATTGGAATGAGAAGGTGGAGATTTTACTTTTTTTCTCTGTCAACAGGACTTGCTTCAAGCCACGCTTGTTACTTTCAAGCCGGTCTATAGACAAGCAGCAGCACTTGGACATATTTAGACTGACGAGAAAAAGAAAACATTGTGTGAGCTGTCCGGCGAAAAACGAACAAGGAAAAAGACAAGAAAAGACCGCAAGAAAGAACACAGATGAATGCAAGACAACTTCTACAAACAGAAGTCAAGTATCCTACATTATCAGCTGACAAAAGCAAGTTAGAAAACAGCAAATGAATAATTTAGATCCTGCAGTGAATGTAGATCACCACCTAAAACTACCCTGGTCCCTTTCTCTTTTCCAGCTTCTTGACTCATTTGTGCATCTCTTTTTCCCCTCATGTCACTCGGCTTGTTCTGATGACTTTAATTAAATTATGACTGACACAATGTCTGTGGCTGATAAAAGGGAATGCCAATATTTCAGAATATTACCCTTTTCTAACATTGGGCAGAGTTAGTTATGAGTTTAGACTGCATAATTGCTTGTCCATTTATAAAAATAGAATATGTGTTCCTGATGACAGACCTAGAATTATAATAGCCTAACTATGCTCTTTAGTAAGTATTGTCCAATTGTTCACATTACTAAAGAGAGATAAGAAAACAGAGATTGCTCATTAACAATATGCATGTTTGTTTTATATTACTTGTTGGCCTAATGAGAAGGTCGATCCAAATTAAAAGCTAGTAAGCAGATAAGCAACATACCTTTCATAATTTTTATGCAAGTAACCAAAACGCTGCCTGGTGAAAGGCAATCAGGCTACAAAACAAAACACACACAAGAAACAGTAAGTTGCAACAATCATTTACTGCAAAAACAGGCAGGGTAAGAGTTGGATCTGGTAAGAAGTGAGGGAAAAAAACTAAGCAATGTGAATACTATGAAATTATTACTAAAAGGAGAATAGGTGAGTGGGTTTACTGATTTAAAAAACAAACAAACAAAAAAACTGCAAGCCTCAAATGTACAGGCACCTGAAGGAAATATTTTGGAATTTTAAGGGAACGAAAGAATAAAGAAAAACGCAGGAGAAATCTAATAGCAGAACATCAAATCTAAAATCCTGACATTATGTCATTGTCATAAAAATTGAAATTGAAATTGATGGGCAAACATGTAATTTTCAGATTTGCATAAATTTGTTTGGTAGGGTAGTCTTTGCTTTACTTTGCTTTTTATACCATAGCATAGGATCTCCAGTGTTTTCCAAATTAATATATAGACTTACTATTAAAGGCTCTTTACATGACAAAGGCAGAGCATTGAAAGAGCATTAATATTTATTGAACTTTATTACATTCTACTACATTCAGACTACAATCCTCCTTGTATTATGTTTGTAACTTTTTTGCTAGATTTCTGAGTCAATACTGTGCAGAACTGTCTTTCTTTGCAGTCACAGCTACAAGTATTTCAGATTGTCTCTACCAGCTGCTTTCCACATCTGGGGCTTGAATCATTATCCTTTCTCTTTTGAACATTGATCAAACTCAGTCAAATTGGATGGAGTGCATCTGTGAACTCTTATTTTCAAGTCTTGCTAAAGGTTGTGAGTTGGATTAGGTCTGGAATTTGACTCGCATAAAAATATCTTAAATCCAAACAATTCAAGAACTTATGGCCTACTAGCTTCAAGTCTGCTGCATCCTCTAAGAAACTTTCTTCCACTTATTGTGTGAATTTAGCTCTTTTCATCTTTCCAATTACCATGACCTGCTTTTCTGTTCATGCTGGAAAAAAAGCATCTCACTGCAAGACACCTTGCTTCACTGAGGGTGCGGTGTGATTATTGTGATGTGCAATAGGTCTTGTTAGTTTTCGTCCCCAAACATTGCATATAAACATGTAAGGTTGGTCCAAAACATTTTGCTCAGAACTGTATTTCAAGCGGAACTCATTGTTGCTATAGATAGAACATATATTGACTTCCTCTCCATTTACAGCATCAGGAGGAAAAAGCACTTAAGAGCATGCGGATGACGCAGACACCATATGGTCAGAATGCAGTGTGACCGCATGCGTATGTGCACATGACACCAGGTGTAACTAAATCCCAATTTTCAAATTTTGGGAAACTTAAAAGTTATTTACAGTGAGCATCGGTGAGCAAAATATGCACTATTTTATATTACACATCAGACTATTTGGTTTATCTTCAAATCTTCATAAAGTGGCATGATTTTTGAGCAGATGAGCATTTGATTGTACAGTAGATTTATATATCAATGCAGCAGTCAACAACATATTTGACTCATTGATTATTGATTATTTTTGGTGACTTTTCAGGAACTGTGCATCATAGAACAGTGGTCTCCTGCAACACATTGCAACATATTGTTAAATTACCTACACACTACACAAATTGTTTTATAACAACTGATTATTATAGCATCATATAATCAAGCACTTGCAAATCTTGCAGGATAGAAAACTTATAAAGTAGAGTTACATTTGGCTTTCTCTTATTGGATAATTGGTTGATTTAATATAATGTGAACTCTACTGTAAAGATTCTTTGAAGCTGCAATAAAACTTGTCTTTGTGATATTGACCAAGGTGCATTACAAAAGGTCTAAAATGGCTTGCAAGAGTAAAATCTATATTGTTCTTCAAATGTCACCAAAATTGTTTCCCCATATCCAAACGATTCTTTTAGCTATTCTAATGGGGGCACTTATTTAGTCATGTAGATCACCAGACTGTGACTACTACTCTTACAAACGTGTACAGCACAGCATTAAACTGGAGATTTTGATTTAAAGAAACAAAACCATTGGTGTACTTGGGAGATTATCAAATAGGAATTAAAATATTGAACTCCATTATCCACTGTTTCACAGAAAATATTTTAGTAGACATATTTTTTTAAACACCTTTAAATCACTGATATGTCTTTAACAATCTAAAGTTTTGCTCATGTTTTACATGATTAGGACACCTATTGGTATACTGCTGACATATTTTGCAAAACAGATCATAGAAACATCTAAATGTGAAAGCCTCACAATCAATTTGAGACAGAACTTTAAAGCTGACAAGATCAAGCATTTCTCATTTAAAAAGAGTCGTTTATCGTATTCAGTACGATGGACGACTCAGGATTTTTTAGATACGAGTTGAATGGCCTTTCACCCAGGGCATCTTTGTGTAAGGGGATGTTGCAAGCACATGACAACAACAACAACAAAAAAGAAAATGTTATTTTTGACCAAGTTTTCTATTGGTTGTTGTCAATTCCAGTCTATAGGGAGTGGACATCCCCCAGTCTTATTCAAAGAATTGAACTCCATTACTTTAACATTTACCATAGTAAAAGGGGAAACATAGAGTTCTCCAGATCTAGTCTCATTTTTGTGAAGCCCTATTGTGTAAGAGCACAATCCACACAATCACTGAAAATACTGGAGGGAAAAATAATAAGAAGCCATACTTATCCCCCAAACATTTACCCCATAAAATAAATATAATTATAAAGATCATCAAAATTACAACAAAGAAATGCAGTACCTGACATTTCATAGCTTGTGTGTCCAACAACCACATGAAACCCAACAGAGGTTATTCTTCAAAGTGAAGACAATCTCATCTATGTTTGTATCCTGTAAGTCTAGGTACAATAATGTTAATGCTGAAAAAAGCTTTCAAAACTCTGGTGACAGAGTTCAAAATGTTTTATTAGATTACACTGTTTGAAGATAGAACATCATACACTATATAAAATCAACAGAGACTATGTTTAATCTGCCCAAGTGAATAGGTGAACAGTACAAATACCATTTTATGCTGGAATTTTTGACGAACATCTTCTTCAACCAACACGTCTGTCACTTAATGTTGGCTTGAAGTTCTGCATTTCACCAGAAGAGACCAATTACCGCATGCGGTTATGTCATGGCTTAGGCATCAGTTACTACAATCATTACTACAATCTCCCTTTTTGCCATTAACCAACGTGGGAAATAAAATGCAAAAGATGCTGATAATATCGACATGAAAACCTTCACTTTACTTGCTGCCTTTAGCATTAATTGTGCATGAAAACTCAAATGTAGGAAATTGATGGAAATAATTCCTCGCCACTTGCACAACAGACTCATGCAGGCAGTTTAGTAATGATAACTTTACTTCAGTGATGCCTGCATCTTGCCCGATTAGGAAAATGTGGTAGGGGGGGGGAACTCCAGTCACAATTTAATTCTGGGTTAACACACCATACAGACTGCTACCTGCTATGTCTCCTGCACATCCTATCTATAAAGACACCTGCATCACGCTGATAGGAGTGTGTGTACAGCAAGGACACACTCACCCAAACACGCATTCACACCAATATTGTGCTTTTTTTGGTCTCCTCCTCGCCTCCCCTCAACTCCACTTCCTTTTGCCACTTTCTCTGTACTAGGCATCAGGCCTGCTGCACATGCTGACATCAGCAACCAGCAGCACCCCCTAGACACCCCCCAAACCTCCCACCCTTATCACACGCTCACACTACACACACCTCTCACAGACAGGTACATCAAGCAAATCCTGGGATACTTTGACATGAAATTAAAAGGAAAAAGTGACTGATGGGGGATCAACAACCTCACCCCCTTCCCCAGTCCACTTAACCACTTAATAACCTGAAAATTGCATAGTCAGCATTTCCTTGGCCACCTCACTAGATAGTACGGCAAGACCTGTATCATTAATGTGTACTCACTGCACAACGCCTGAAAAAGGATATGGCCATTCGGTGATCTTTTTGGCGTATTTTCTCACAAAGTTATCCTCGCTGAAAATGAACAGCGAGCGATTGACAGTGAAGCAGTTCTGGCGTACCGGGATGGGGTTATAGAGGGCCATTGTGCGGGCTCTCTGCGCCATAGACTGCTTATACATTCTCTGGCCCCCGGGTCCTCCTGGTGGTCCGTGGCCGTGGCCGTGCCCATGGCCGTGGCCATGTCCGTGTGGTCCGCCTTGCCTGCTGCCGCCGCGGCCCCCGGGGCCCCCTCCACCACCGGGGCCCCCTCCATACCTGCCCGGCATGTCGTCTCCGAACCGCGCCATTCAGCGGACACCGATCTTGGACGCCAATCTTCACGAAACAGCGGAAAAGGAGACCAATGCACAGCTGTGTGGCCACACCACATTACATCTCATCTGGATCCGAACGTCTCATATGCACAACGGGGGTTGCCTTGCGAGCTTGCCGATCAACACCTGCACCTCCCGGCTTCAGCAGACGAGGACGCCCATGTAAGCCCACGGCGTCTCCTTCCTCTGTGTGCCTCTGCCAACGGCCAACTGTGGGTGTGAGGAAATTAAATGTGTGGTCGGTTGGTTGACTGGTTGCACTGTAGGGTAGTGCTGCTGGGCGTCTCAGTCTTAGTCCGATTTTATGTCCATAAAAAGTAGGATTTGCCTCCAAACATGAGCTCATGGGGAGACTATCGAGTTAAACATGAATGTTTCATGTTCTTCTGTATGGTTCATGCTTGGATCAGAGCGCACCAGATGTTCCCGCACCTTTCTGGACGCCTCATTTCTTCACTCTTCATGTTAGAATTTGTGACAAAAACCCGTAAAATATAGGCCCCAATTTATGAAGAGATTTTTTTAAAAATAGATTTACGGATGTCCTCTCAATGTGTTCCAAATAATAAAAAAAAAGCATTGGCAAAAACAAAAAAAAAAAAAAAAAAAAGAAGAAGAAAAAAAAAAGGAGGGAGAGCCAGGATTATTTATTTATTTATTTTTGGAACATCCGCAATGTTTGATACAGCGTGTGGCAATAACGTGGCTCCCGTCGCCCTACAGCTGCTTTACAAGTGCGCTCCCACTAGCCTTGACGAAAAAAAAAGTGACATTTGTCAATCTCAAATCTGATTGCATAATCCCATTCAGAGATCAAATGTTGGAAAAAATACCGTTTTCCTTTGGAGCCTCGGTGTCATTGATGTACATAAAAGTCTTCTTCACCAAACGAATTCAGAAGCATCCTCCTGTCCTCCCCGTTGCAACCACACTGTCCTCTTCTTCAATCCCTCACCTGCAGCGAGCATCCATCCAGAAGCGGAGGGAAAGGGACGGCGTCGTCAAAGACAAGGCTGTTCTTCGCCGCCTCACAACCTCTCATGATCTAGGTTCGGCCGATCGAGGAGGTGCCGAGAAAAATATCCCTCACCATCCCCACCCCGAACAGTCTTGGATCCGCACCGATGAGCCCAAATGTCCTGGAAGAGCTCTCTATCTCTCTCTTTCTCTCTCTCTCTCGCTTTTTCTCGCTCGCTCTCTCTCTCATCCTCTCTTTCACTGGAGAGGGCCTCCTTATCCAGCAGCCCTCAAGGGGAGAGGAAGAGGGAGATGGACAAACGGACGAACGAACGTATGGATGGATATTGAGGCAGATCGATTGGTATATGGACAGAAAGGAACAGAAAGGGGAGGGAATTGTGTGTGTGTGTGTGTGTGTGTGTGTGTTTTATTCCCTCTGTAAATATCAACCCGATTAAATGAAACCGCCAGCAAAATCAGTTTGTCAAAACTGTGTTCTGCGGGTACGGCGCATGACGCACGCAACTTGCACACGTATGCCATGGGTGGACGATCCGTTCTTCGTTCATAGCCTGTTTCTCCCCAGGTGCCTCTGGCTGCAGAATAGACGCGCCCATTCCACTTGAGCCACCCCAGTTATGCGTAAAATATTCAACTGATTTGAAGAGAGGGGGTAAAAGGAACGAAAGAAATGAGGTGTTACACAATTCATAATGTCCATATTAGGGTAAGCGCTTATTTTAAGTCAGATGCGCGTGTATGTGTGTGTGACTGACGTCGGGATCATGCATTTCCTGCAAAAGACACAGCTGCAACCCGAGCTGACAATGACTGCGCGCACACGGGAGCGTGTAACAGAAAGAAGAAGACGAAGAAGAAGGGTGGGGGGGGGGGGGGAGAGAGGAAGCTGCGCGTCACAGTGCGAGCGCGCAAGTCTGCATGTGTTTGTTAGGGAAGGTGGAGGGGAGAGGCTATTCTTAGCAACAGACGTTTGGAAATTAATGGACGAAGAGAGCTCACTTCTCTCCCCTCCCTCCCTGAAAGTGAGTCGAGGATCTTCTTCCCTCACTCTCTCCTCTGCTCGAGGCTACTTTTTTTTTTCATCCCTCCACCAAAACATTGGTGCTCGTTCCAAGGTGTGACCAGCGAGCACATGCTCTGCGCTAAAGCCGCAGTACTCTGTAAATGTTTTCAGATGCAACTCAGGGGAACGTGAAATGGATAATAACACTAACATCTTAAAACATTTTTTTTTGTTAAATCTACCTTTTTTGGCATCTATCGTATGGATATAGAATTGGATAAAAGAGTGATGTCACTTGTCTCATTGTACACCTTTAAAGGGCTGTTGCCACGTTACGTGAAGCGTCAGCGGAGAGAAAGGTTGGACCTCACATCATCATCATAATCCTTCTTCTTCTTCTTCTTCATTACATGGCAAAAATGTATTAGGAGACCTAATTGATTGACTCCACAAATAGCCGCATGTGTGGGTGTGTGTCTGTGTTGGCGCGCGCGCATGTTTGCCTGCGTGAATGGGCAGTGATGTTGCATATCCAGATTTAAGGGTGACCCGGAGAATCAGCTCTTCTCACCTATTGGACAGACGAACCTGGGGGAGGGAATAGCTTGCAAGCGCGAGTACCAGTCGATAATAGCGTGACCTTAAACGGCCATTCGATATGTCAGGAAAAGGATCGTTTTGCCTCGTGTCCACTTAGAGAGGCTTTTGATTGTGAGGGGAGGCTGACCCCACCGCAAGGACAGAAAAGAACTTGATAGATAGATAGATAGATAGATAGATAGATAGATAGATAGATAGATAGATAGATAGATAGATAGATAGATAGATAGATAGATAGATAGATAGATAGATAGATAGATAGATAGATAGATAGATAGATAGATAGATAGATAGATAGACAGACAGACAGACAGACAGACAGACAGACAGACAGACAGACAGACAGAGGGAGGAAGGGTCGGAGGGACGAACCAGCACAACAGACAACCCAGACCCAATCAAGATATTTCAGCACCAAGGACAGCGGCAAAAAGCCAATACTAACTAGACTACTGGTTTATTTTACATGGTTGTAGTGAAACAAAATAAAAAAAGTATGAAACTTTTTCTGAAAACTAGCTGGGACCTAGTTAAGTATCTGTAATGTAGAGTTGATGGCATGATTTTCAAATTAAACAAAAGTCCTACCATAACAATCTCCATCACTTTATATGCAAATTCCTCCATTTCAGAAATGGATCACTACTAAACCACTCTAACCTCTTAAAACCTTTGGGTACAAAACATTCAATATTTGTCACAATAAGAAAGGTTTGAGTTCCATGTGATTTTTGATTTGTTTTGTATTCAGTTCAGTCCTTTAATCTAAATCTAATATTTCTCTTGTGATTTGTAGTCTTTGGTTTTGAGTTTTCTATTTACTAGGTTCATTGTATTACTTTACTTTCCCAAATCCCTATGTTTTCCCTTTTTTTTTTTTTTTCTTATTCTGCTATTTTCTCTGTCTCCCCCCTCTGGTGTCACCCTCTAAGTTCTCCCACAGCAGCAACCTGTTTGTTAATTAAAATCACCTGTTTTCCATACCAGTAATTACACCCCTCTGCTGATACCTCTACAAGCTCTTCCACTTTGTTACCAGCTCCTCTTGGTAAGTGCTTGTATCCTCCATCCTCTGTTATCCTCTGGTGTTTTGTTCTATCTGGATGATAAATGAAGGTGCTCTAGTCAAAACCAACCGCTCAAACCAATTTAACCCACAGTCCTTCATCCAACTGGTGTCACATATGTATCCAGCAATATGGAATATAAATGCAGATTCATATTAGTGGACATGTTGGAGTTAAGTGTCTGGGCCCTGCAACATCATAATGGACAAACAAATAACTATAAATGTGGGTCACTTTGCCAACCCAATTAAATAAACTGATCCAGCTCTGTGACGATTTAGCACATCAGTTTTGGGCTTTGAGTTGGACCAAGCAAAATTGTTTATGCTTTCAACTTCTAAAAATGGTTAAAATGACAAATGAGCAATGCAGAGGATACTAAAATGGGTGGAAGGAATAACCAGAAACTAACCTGCGATGCATTGAGGACTTGTTCAGGATGTACACTGCCTCTTACCCAATGAGACAGGCACCAGCCCCCAGGTGGCCCCACAAGGAGAAGAGGGTATGGATAATGGATGTCTGGATCCTGTAGACTGAAGTCAAAGGCAAAAAGCTGTAATGAACTGAGGACAGGTTTGTAAAAAAAGAAAAGAAAGACAAATTGTGACATAAAAAAAAGTTTTAACTCAGTGGAAGTCGTTTTTCAGGTTGTAGGTGCAATTCCAGCCTCTTCTTGTCACACGTCTATTTTGGTTATTTGTTTATTATAAGTCCCCATTAGTTTCTACACAATTTGTGATGTCTTTACAAGTAAGACCTTAAAACTACTAAGCCTGTCTGATAGATAGATAGATAGATAGATAGATAGATAGATAGATAGATAGATAGATAGATAGATAGATAGATAGATAGATAGATAGATAGATAGATAGATAGATAGATAGATAGATAGATAGATAGATAGATAGATAGATAGATAGATAGATAGATAGATAGATAGATAGATAGATAGATAGATAGATAGATAGATAGATAGATAGATAGATAGATAGATAGATAGATAGATAGACTTAATATCTCAGGGGCAGAATTATTTATTTCATTGGAATGACTTAATTATAACAAATCGTGGCCAAAAGTTTCTTGTTTTCTTCCCATGTTACCAGACGGGCACCGTATAAAACACACAAACAATATCAAAACACAAAAATATGTGCCTCAACAATTTAACAGTCGATGCATAATCGTCATGTGCCCCTCGGCAAGGGATTTTGTCAAAGTTGCATACCAATCTGTGTACTGGTGTATAAATGTGAGCGTGTTTGTGAGAGTGAATGGGTGAATGTCTGTGTAGTGTGAAGCGCTTTGACTGGTCAGTAAAACTGGAATTCTATATGAATCCTTTAAAGAGGTCAATAATCTCATTTTTTTAAATTTATTTCAACCTTTTAAATGTGATTGTATACCTCTACATATACATAAAAATCATAACTGTTAACACAGAAACCATGTATCTCTAAAGTTGCTAATTGCTTCTAAATGTAAATTCTTACTGTTTGGACAATTGAACATGTCCTTTTTTGATGCTTTCCATTAGAAATGTGTTACCAAAACATCCCAAAACATGTGAGCAGTGATCAATAGTAATGATTTTCACGTAAATTAAACAAAAAATTGAGATATGGGGTTTCACCAGACAGCCACAAAGCTGATGTGTTTTTTTTTTACTTTAAGGCTATAGGACCTTTGACGAGCAGTAGCATTCGAGGTTACAGGGAATAAAATATAGCTGATCGTAAACTGGGTGTGTTTCGTTTAAGGTGTTAATAGATGAGAAAAGCGAATGTGACATGAAGGGTTATAACTGCAGTGTAAAGAGAATGCAGACCATCACCAAAATTCCTGTTGCTGATAGAAAAAAGATAAGCATTTTGTTGATATCTGGGCAATGTGTACTGGAATACAGAAAAAAAAGGTAGGGTGGATGAGATGTTTATTGTCTCAGTATCCATACCTCTTTATGGCTCTGGAATAAATGGGTTTCATTTCTCTACACTGCACTTCACTCCACTTTTCCTGGTAGTGCCCTCATCCTTATATAATGGCATTGTAAATTACTTTATTACGATGCACCCAGTCCTTTCAGTATTACAATGTATCTACTGATGGCATATTTCCAAAATGATGTAGGGATAACTTCAGGTGATGTTTTAACTTCTCTTTGAAATCTTAAAACTGAGAAGAAGCAGACTGCATTCAAATCTTAAAAAAGTAATGGGCCATTTCTGCTCGGCCTGATGTGAAACCTAATTAACCTTTAATAACTTTCTTTAAAAAAAAGGAAAGGAGAACCAACTTTCAACTGCTTTATTTGAGAACATAAAATGTCATGTCACTGAAAATGATGGTTTCAACCCGTTCATTGAGACTGGAAGTAAAACCCATTTGCATAATTCTCTGTTGTTGTTTCTTGCCTGTCAGATGTTCACCTAACCTGAGGATGAGAGGCTGCAGCTCTGAGGCGAGGGCCTAGAAAGGAGTGGCATGACTCAATGATTCATAAAGCTGAATAATTCAATGGCTGTATGTATGTGGAGCACTCCGCCCCTGCTGAACCCGTTCTTCCACAACCCAGTGGCAGATTTCCAGGCAAACCTCTGCAAGCTTGGTCTACACCACATGAACAACAGACGGACAGGCAAATTCACGCCAAGGCTTATACTTATAAGTATAATATAAAAATAATATTTATTATATAAGGAAAAGTACCTTTACCTTTTG